ATGCCATTAAACTAGCAACCAGTTACTTTTTTTAATAAAGCCCCTGGATTAATAATTAATAAAAATAAAAAAAAACGTTTTTCGAAAAACTAAGAAACTTTTATTGCTTCCAAAGTAGTCAGTCTTATTGTCAGTTACCCTATTTCTAGTACTCTGGTTATAGAACAGCTGGTGCCTGGTGGGAGGCTCAGTCTTAAAAAACCGACAATTCCAAATACTACATAACTTTTTGAGTTTCCCGGTTAAATTTAACGTAACCCCTGAGCTTACTTGAAGGGTTTCCTTAAAACTACCTTGAAATTGACAGTCGGCATGTCATACTGTTAAATTTACTTCAGTAGTTCCTAATACTGCAACGTCTTACGTTTAACACTCAGACTGACCTTTAGGGGTTGCACGACTTTCTTTCCTTACACTTCTGTCATTAAAGTTCAAGCATTGCAGCCATGTCTGGAGTGTGACGACGGAGATGTTAATTGCTAATAAGTAGTAATACTACGTCACGTGGGACAGAGCCAACCATGGAAATAATGCAAGTGGTTTAAATTAATCGGCGACCAGATATGCACAAATCGGTCCCTTGTATTCACCAATTGTAGTTCTTGTCTCAAAAGGAGTAACTTGCACACAGAACCAAAGTTCCTAACTGATTCCATCGTGGGGGAATTTAGCGTTCCCAAGGCTCTATCTTCCAAGGTTTTCACAAGTTTCTTCTTTTCTACAATTTTTTTACACCAACTTGTGCAGCCTTGTCGGCCTTTGCCTTTTCTTCTGGTACGTTTACCTTAAAACTTGACATGGATGGTAATTCAATGCCGATTTAACGACAAAAATTTCAACTACAATCGAAATCAAAGTTCTACCTAAAGACGATGGCATTATGGATGTTATAAATGCAGGAAAAGTCGAAAGGTTTGCTACATTTCGTCTAAAATTAAGCATCAACTAAACTATAAACGCATCTTGGGTCACGGAAAATTCATAGGTTAAGATATGACGACTGCTTTAATATTTTTCCAAGAACTATTTGTAACCGAACTTGGTATTAAATGAAGGCTTCAAAGTTGAATAGACAAATGGTACTTTATGGAAAATGAAGTCAAAATATCAATTTAATTATCTAGTACTAATGGGATATTTACACTTCGTTTTCTTTATCGCGGTTAGCAGGGAAGTGTAATCGGACTAGATTCGACTCAGTGTCCCCGGAGTGGCTCAAGACTACATGCTGGGGCCCACAGCAGCATGGTGGTAGTTGAAGTTGCAGGGTTAAATGCGCTGCTAACTACAAGTCTCTGTCAATTGTTCAGGGATAATTGTGGTTTGCCGTAACTGTGCAAACGTTAAACCGATTCACAACTTGATAAAGCAACAGTGGCTGCAAGGCTTCAACTATCTGCTTCAAATTCTTGACGAAGCAGCCTCGTAGGGTCACTCGGCTTCAGAATCAACTCACTTAAACAATGTCTATCATGTGACAAGTAATTTGTTAGTTTAAGTAGGCTATTTTCATGCATTTCGAAAGCTAGTTGGTTGTGTTCTGTTGGAAAATAACAACCTCTATTCGAACACACCAATTTCACATCGGTTCATCTGCAATTTTTAGGCCTCTAGCACTTACTTTAATCATTTACTGAAAAAATACAATCGAATGAATCCAACCTGATACAAGCGATTTAAAATATCACCCAATAGTCACACTTCAACTGTAGCTAGCCACGACACGCACAATCTGCTGATTGAAAAAACGTTTGATTTGTTCGTAGGCAAAATTAGTCCAAATTATAATTCAGCAGTTACCGTGGTGCATTGAATAGCACCATCAAATAACTATGAAGAAACTTAAAACACTTTCCATTTCTTCTATATCTGTGTGCAGCTATTGCTTAACAAATTTGATGCATTTGAATACACGTTATATTACATTGCGTAACATTACTAAAAGGATCACTAAAACCTCTGAGTAACCAACCAGTTGTGTAAGATTATGAAGATGTTCCCAAAGCATACACATTAAGTTGTGCTGGCAGACGATGTGTAGCTACTGACCAAGCTCGTGAAACAAGGCTTCCACATGATTTGATTCTAAAATGCTTAATGAGAACTGTCAAAGACCTAGGAAAGTGCCAAATTGCTGCTTGAAAAAGCAACTTTACTGAAAACATGCAGGTAGAGTGACTCAGTTGTACCTAATTTAATCTATCATTGATGGCTGTGATTGACATTAGCGATCATTCATCTTATTATTAATTCATTCATGTCAAACGCCAACATTGCCTACTTTCGACCATTTGACGATTAAAACAATTCTGAAGGCTGTTAGATTAAGTAATTTTTAGCACACAAATTCTCCAAGAAATCAGTCAGTTGGTTGGCACAAGGTCGCTTGCGCTGATGTTTTCGTTTTGTCTCAATTCAACTTCACGTTGATTGAAACTAGGTCAACATGTGGGCATTTCGGAGACGTGAAGTAAGGTGATTGGCCGAAATGGGGTTTTAAATGGGACTCAAAGTTTTCCTTGAAGGCAATTCCGGAGAGCAACATTTTAGGCCAGAAATGAAACTTATTTTTGTCTTCTGGTTGATATTGCATGAAGGGGGACGCACAAATTTGTTCATCCCAAGCTCCCAGTTGTTGCAGTATGACGTTTGCAAACGTCTGCGGTGAGTTACTTGTGACGACCATTGTGATTTCGTGTGCTCAGACGCCTTGAAGCGATTTGGTTTGTACACAATTTGCGATAGTTCTCTTAAGAGTAAATCTGAATCAGACGATGCTAGGGGCGTATAAATATTCTTACAGAACACCAAAACTGATGTGCTGCAATATTGACGGTAGCTGAGGGCAAGAAATTCACTGCTCGTGGCCTAAACGGATCATTCTGCTCAGTTTTTAGTGCGCTATATGAACTTGGGTTGGACACATTTTGCGCTGCTAAAAGTCAACCAGGCCATATTCCTATGCGTTGTTCAACAAAATGATTAAGGCGGGCTAGTTTTGGGACCACACTTGCTCAATGTGTCTCCAGCATCACATTTATTTGGCAGAAATTGTCGCACGTTTTTACGCAAACTTTTTTAAATCTAGTATGCTGTGGCCGTGTCAACCATGGCAAAGAACGTGTAGTTCACTGGAAAGATTGCTGTAATAGCTAAACATCACTTTAGGCTTTCTGTTTTTGCAGCGACGAAAGATGTCTCATTATTTTGTGTTAAGTGCTTCCATGATTTGTATGCACTTGTAAGGCAGCACATCTATTCACGAATGAAAGTTGTTTGTTAGTTTATGCAGGCTCGGTTCTTGATTCTCTTCCCTTTGTAACCAATTTTTCTATTATGCGGTAACATGTCCACCGCACTTATCACTTTTGTAGTTCCTATTAATCGACACAGAGAACTGCGGTAATTTAAGGTTTATTTTCCCAAATAAATTAGGTTTAAAATGCTTTTGTCTATTAAAATTGCCTGACCATCTGAAAACTCGAATGTATATCACAAATCATTCCTAACACAGACGGAATGCAGTAATTTATTAATCTTGTTTGTGATGATACAAAATTCACCTGCATTTTAACCTACAATAACCTTCCTTGCCTTATTTGCTTGCCACTTCCCGCAACGTGTGAACCGACTAGATTAATGGAAAACATGCGACTTCCTGTTGCAGTAGTCCATCTGTGCTTTATCGAATCTGGCCCGTAAGATTTCCTAGAATTAATGATTCATCAAGGCCT